GCTGCTCAGCTTGCTGCTGTGGCGGCTCAGGAGGTCGCTGCTGCTGTTGTGGCTGCTGCTGTTGCGCGCGAAGCTGCTCTTGCTGTTCGGTTCGCTGCTTCCGAACTTGCTCAAGCCAGGGCTCCACGAACTGGGCGCAGCTGGCAGCCAACTGCGCGCCGCCACCAAGGGACTGAACCAGGCTCTGCAGCTGCTCCAGACTGGCCGTGAAGGTGTCGAAGACCGCCTGGTCGCTGCCTTCAGGAGCATGAGTGACCTGCTCAGGTGTACGAGTACGCAGCAACTCCATCTGCTCCCTCTGCATCTGCACCCGAGCCTTTTCTTTGGTCTCCAACTGCTGCTTGAGATCCAACACCAAAGCTTGCTTTTCAGCAATGGCCTGCTCCTCCGACTCGATGGTGGCCTTGAGCTTCGCAGTATGCTGATCTGCCTTCTGAATCTTATTGCCAATGCCATGCACCTGCGCACCCAACGGCTTAGCATCGTGGATCTCATGCCGCAACTTTCGTAAATATGTTTGAGCTTCCTCATAGCCGATGACAGTCTGCGGGGCAACGCCCTTGACTTTGGCCGCCAGCTCGAGGGAGGCCACAACCTGCTCCAGCGCATCCAGCTCCTGCTGCTTGCTCTGGGCGTCGTCCTTAGTGGTGGCGGCATCAGACTGCGGAGGCGATTGCTGCACGTTTTCAGTCGGCCTGGTCCGAGACAGCTGCTGCACCTGCTTCCGAAGGGCCGCCAACTCCTTATCCTTAGCATCCAGCGCCGCCCGTGCATTGCCCCCAGCAACAGGTGCACGAACACTGGGCGTAGGAGAAGGTAGATCGCACTTGTAGACGCGTCCTTTGGCCCCACCACGCAAGAAGCAAGAAGCAGCATCTGCATGATTGTGCCAAGGCTCGCCAGTTTTCTCATGTGCGCAGTGCCTGCACACCCATCTCTTGGCCCGTGCTGCCCTGTCTCTTGCCGCAGCACCTTTCGGCGGTGCCATGATGCCCGCACAGAACGAGAGACAAGAGCAGTGATGCCCGTACCGTAGCCAGGCAGCCTGGCCGTGGCGACAAAACTGATGAGGGAGCCCAACCCCTCGGTGTAGGCGGAACGCTGTCGAGCGCAAGCGCTCTGGCACTGCCGCGGGCTAGCGGTCTGCGTGGAAGCCAATACGGGCCCAGCCCGCAAAAAGCATGAGCCTTGAGCCAAAATGGCTACGGACGCGGAGGATAGGGAGGAGGAGGAGGAGGAGGAGGAGGAGGAGGAGAAGGCGAGGAGGAGGAGGGGGAGGAGGAGGCGGAGAAGGCGGAGGAGGAGGAGAACGAGAAGTTGGAGGAGGAGGATGAGGAGGAGGACGAGAGGGAGGTGGAGGATGAGGGGGAGGAGGAGGAGGAGAAGGAGGAGGAGGAGGAGGAGGAGCAGGAGGAGGACGAGGAGGAGAATAAGGAAGAAAAAAGGAGGAGGACGATAGGGGGAAGAGGAATAAGGATGAGGAGGATAACACAAATGAGGAGGAAGAGGAGGAGAAGGAAGAGGAGGAGGAGAGAGAAACGGATGAGGAGGAACAGGAGGAGGAAAGGGGGGGGAAGAGGGAGGAGGAGGATGAGAAGGAGGAGGAGGGGGAACATAAGGAGGAGGAGGAGGAGGCGGAGGAGGAGGAGGAGGAGGAG